TTTTTTTTTTTTTGAGCTAGGGCCTTTCTTTGGCTTGGAAATTGCCAAACAGGCTAGGCTGGCTTGCCAGAGAGCCCTAGGAATCTGTCTGCCTCTGCTTCCCTGTCATGACATTATAAGTGCTTGTTACCACATCTGAATTTTTGTTTTTACATGGGTTCTGGATATTGAACTCAGGTCCTTGTGCTTATAAGGCAGGAATTTTATTAACTGATATATCTCGCTGGCCCATGAATTGAATTTTTTAAAAATTATTTATTATTTTACTTTTATGTGTATAAGTGTGTTGCCTCTGTGTGTGTGTGTGCGCGCGCGTGCGTGCGTGCACATGTGTGTGTACTCCTGTTGTGCAATGCCCTTGGAGGTCAGAAGAAGGTGTCAGATTCCTTGGAACTGGAGTTATGGATGGTTGTTACCTGCCATGTGGGTCCTGGGGATGAAATCCGGGTCCTCTGCAAGAGCAGCCAGTACTCTTAACTGCTGAGCCCCCTGTGAACTGGATATTTATGCTGTCTCTAAAATCAGTTACCTGCTGCTTAAGGCTGTAATCTGACTAGGATTGGAAAAGCAAGTTCTATACCCATTTGGGAAGTGTTAGCAAATTCCAAAGGAAAACATTTATAAAATAATTCATTAGTTTCTGAGGAGCCCTCCCTACAGCTTTATGAGGCAAGTGTAATGCTGTCTACTTATCATGTTTAGAAGTAAGCTCAAAGAGGTAGAATGTAAGAATCAGGTACAGGAAGTCACAGAAGGGCCTGGTGGCACAGGCCTGTAATCCCAGCTACTAGGGAGGCGGAGTCAGAAGAATCACAGGTTCAAGGCCTGCCTAGGCTACAAAGTGAATGCAAAGCTAGCCTGGGAAACTTAAAAAATTTTTTTTGATTAATTTATTTTATTTTGTGTGTATGATGTCTGCATGTGTGTAAGTGCACCCATGTCATGTAGTGTCCACGGAGGACAGAAGTGGGCATTAGATCCCCTGGAACTAGAGTTACAGATGGTTGTTAGCTGCCGTGTAGATGCTGGGATTCAAACCTGGGTCTTCTGCAACAGCCAGTGCTCTTAATTGCTGAGCCATCTCTCCAGCCCCTAGCTTGGGAAACTTAGTAAGACCACATTTCAAAATAAAAAGTAAAAGAAGGGACTGGGGATGTAGTGCCCTGGTAATGCACTTCCCTAGCATGTACAAGGGCCTTGATTCATCCTCTAATACTGCAAGGGGGGGATCGGGGGAACAGAAAGAAAGAGAGAGAGAAAGAAAGATAGAGAAAGAAAGAGAGAAAAGAGGAAAGAGAAATAGCAAATTCTTTGCTCATGGAAGGCTCTGAGGAGCGCCCTAGTTACTGAATGAGGGAGGATAAACAGGAGGACTCTGGGTCCTGCTTCCTCTGTGAGGGTTGGACACAGATTGAGGAGAAACCTTCACTATGGGGCAGTTTTTATTTTTTTTAAACTTTCAATTTCAATTTTCCATTTAAGGAAACTTTGTTTAGGACAAAAATTATATAATTAGAGTCCAGCCAGATCCTTTGGTTCCAAGTCTAGAATTTTAATTACACTCAGAATCCTTTAAGTTTTAAACATGCTTTATGGTTTCCAAAGAATATTATGAAGAGAGTGATGAGTAGACATGGCTGCTAGTCTTGACGTGCACAGCTGTTTGTAAAGATGGAGGCTGAAAGTGAGAGAAAATAGGACTTGGGCCTTTGTAGAGTGTGCCACCCTCTGAGAATGGTCCTGTTGTTTCCCTGATATTATTTGCTTATTTTTACTGTGGAAATGAAAAGACACCTTTTATCTTTTTTGGTGTCCTTATTTAGTAGCTGCCACATAGGCAGAGTGCCACAAATATCAGTTCATGAGCAAAGGCCCCAAGCCAAAGGCAGGGTGCATGAGCCTGGCTCCCGATGAGCTGCTTTGATTGTAGTGAGATACTTGTTTCCCTTTTGCCTTTGGACTTGTAATATAACCTTATATCTACCTGGGTTTTTAAAAATATATAATTTTCAAAAAAATAATTCTTTAAGAATTTCATACACCTGTACAATGTGTTTGATCATCCTCCCCACTCTTCCTAACTCCTCCCAGGTCTACTTTGTAACTTCAGGTCTTCTTTTTCTTTTTTAAAATAATTAATGCTTTTTTTTTTTTTGCTTCCTCATTTCATCTTTATCACTATACATTTAAAGATTTTATTATTTTAAATTGTGTGTGTGTGTGTGTGTGTGTGTGTGTGTACATGTGTATATCTGTGTGTGGGTTCCCATGTGTACAGATGCCCACAGTGGCCAGAAGGTGTCAGATTCCTGGAGCTGGAGTTACATGTGGTTATGTCATTCAACATAGGTGCTGGGAACTGAACTCTGGTCCTCTGCAAGAGCACTAAGCACTCTTAACAGCTGAGCCATCGTTCCAGTCTCTGCTTTGTTTATAAGCATATTTGCACACCACCGAGCACAATTTGTGTGGTCCATATATGCATGGGAGTGGGGCCATCCACTGGAGCATGGTTGACCTATCAGGCACTACACTCCTAAGGAAAACTGACTCTCTCTCTACACTAGAAGCCATCTAGCAACTGTCAATAGCTCCTCAGCTAGAGATGGGGACTCATGGGTCCCTCTCCACTCCATGCTGGCTTAATCTTGTGCAGGTCTTGTACAGGCAACCATAGCTGTTCAGTGCAGGGTCCTGTCATGTCCAGGAGACACTGTTTTGTCTTGATCTTTAATCTCTGGCTCATGAAAGAACTTTCTGCTTCCTCCTCTGTGATGTTCCCTGAGCCTTGTGGGAAGGGTGTGTGATACAGATGTTCCATTTATGGCTGAGCACACCACAGACACTTATCTTCTACACTTTGACTAGTTGTGAATTTCTGCATCAATTGCTATCTACTGCTAAAAGAGACTTTTCTAATGAGCCCTCTACCTGGGATTTGAACCTGCCAGCTTTCAGAATGGAACTATGCTAGTAGTTCTCTTGGGTCTCTAGCTTGCCTGCTTACCCCACAAGTTATAGGACCTGCCAGCCTCCATAATTGCATGAGTTAATTCCTCATAATTATCTACAGTTGTTTCTGTGTAAGCGCATGTGTTTATGTTAACAGATAGTTTTTTTTTTGCCATTTTAATTAGTCTCAGTCCACCATGGCCTGAAAATATCAAATATAGAATTGTAGAAATGAATTGCTCACAAGTTTTAAATGACTTCTATCACAGAATATTGTTATAATTATCGAATTTCAGTATTAGTTTTTATTTCTTATTGTGCCAAATTTATAAATTATACTCTACCATAGGTATGTATGCATAGAAAAAACAGCATATATAGGATTTGATAATAATCTGAGGTTTTTGGCACCCTTTAGGAGCCTTGAAAGGCATCCCCTGAACATAAAGGGGAATATATATATCTCCATGTGTATATGAATTGATAGAAACAAATGTTTATACACACATCTTCACACCACCAACCCACCCACCTTTGGTTCTGTTTCTCTGAAGAACTCTGACATATATGCTGGGATTGCGTATTATGGGCTGGGTAAAGCAGGGCTGTGTAGTGACTTGTGGCCCAGAAGTATTGTGCTTGTGTTGACTCACCTTTGTTGTGTGACTTGTGTTGAGTATTGGGACAGAGGGAGGCACAGGTCTCCTTACTTGAGGAGGTGTGTAGGGAGGGACATAGTAGATACTTTTTCCCTGCCCTTTGGGACTTTGAATCTACTCTCTCTTTTTGGGAACTTGGCGGTCTGAGCAGGCTCCTCTCTCAGGAAGGCCTTCAGTTCAGGTCAGATTGCCAGGCTATCCTCCTCGGGTAAGTCTGTCCTCTGGGACCATGCCTGTTTTTTTTCTTCCCAACTGATCTACAGGTTACTGGTCAATTCCTGGTCATTCTATGGGAGATGAACCCTGTAGCAAGTGGACCTATCCATTTTCCTGGAGCTGTCTTCTGGGCGTCACACTTCTCCAGTGTTTGTGCTGATTCATGGAGATGGGCCAGGTAAAAGGCCTTTAGGAATGTTCTTCCTTCTATTGCCAAAGGAAGAGCTGAGGCTCAAGGGGGCTAGGCAGCTACCACTTACCTGCACTGGGAGGAGATCTGGTGGTTCCAGAGATGATTGAAAGTCAATTTCAAATCCTCTCACTCTTCCCCAAACCCACTCAAATCCTCTACATTAGAGGAAAAAACAAAAGAGTTGAAGATAGGAGATTGATTGCTCTTCTTCCTGTGTGATCTTAGAGTAAGCTGTAGATTCCTGGTTTGTTTATCTGCGATGTGGGAGTGTTACTAGAGGGCAGCCCCAACAAGCTAAAAAAAGCCAAATTAACAATATGTGAATGAATATTCCCAAGAGAAACTGTATCTTACATTGACCCTTCTGCAAACTTGATTAGCAGATTAGAACATTTGGAGAGGTTGGAATGTTGCAGGTCCAGAGCCTAAATACAATTTATCTTGGGATAGCTTAGCCCCCTCAATAGCCATTCCTTGCCCACCTCTGGACTATATTTTAACTTTTTTTTAAACATTTATTTATTTGTGTGTGTGTGTGTGTGTGTGTGTGTGTGTGTGTGTGTGTGTATGTGTGTATATGCATGTGTGCATGCTCATGTGGAGGTCAGAAGACAACTTACAGGAGTCAGTTCTGTCCATCTACATGTGGGTTCTTCAGGTTATCTGCATTGGAAGTAAACACCCTCACCTGCAAGGTCTCTTGTTGAACCTGGAGCTTGCCAATTCTGCAATTTTAGCTCCTGGGATCCTCTGTCTCTTAGAGTTGGAATTACAGGTGGGCTGCCACACCTGCCCAGCATTTATGTGACTGCCGGGGATTTCAACTCAGGCCCTCATGTGTATATGGCAAACATTTTACCCCCTGTGCAATCTTCCCAGCCCAGCTCTTGTTTTTAAATACTCATTTTAGGAAGACCAAACTCCACACTTCTTCATTTTTATTGTGCAAGTAAGTCACCTTATTAGAATGTGGGTTCTGATTTAGTAGGTCTAGGCGGGCTTGGCTATATTTTCATACTCACAGGTGATGTTCATACTTTTCTGATGGGGGGCTACTGAAGTACACTTCTACAGGAAAAGACATGAAATCTTGCAATGGGTTGAGAAGAAACAGTCCAGCAAACAGAAGAAATGTGGATTTGCTAAAATAGCTTACAGTCAGAGATGACTTGCAAGCAAAACACAAATTTTGTTCCTTGGGAAAACAGTGAGTGAGAGGAGGGAGCGGGGAACAGGTTCAGAGACCCTAGAAGCCCTGAAATGATCACTTCCGGGATTTCTCTGTGGAGTAGCCGCCATTGGTCCTATTGAGAGAGTCAGTGCTGCCTGCTCTTGAGCCCACACTGTTGAGGATTTTGTCAATTTCTCCTGGGATGTTTTGTTTCTCCTCATTCTCAGTCTCACGGTGATAGAAGTAGTTGAAATTGGAGACGATGACAGGTACAGGAAGGGCAATGGTGAGGACGCCTGCAATGGCACACAGAGTGCCCACAATCTTCCCCCCGGGGGTGATAGGGCACATGTCACCATAGCCTACAGTTGTCATAGTGACAACAGCCCACCAGAAGCCATCAGGAATACTAGAGAAGTGGGACTCTGGCTCATCTACTTCAGCAAAGTAGACTGCACTGGAGAAGAGGATGACGCCAATGAAGAGGAAGAAGATGAGCAGCCCCAGCTCCCGCATGGAAGCCTTTAGCGTCTGCCCCAGGATCTGCAGCCCTTTGGAGTGGCGGGAGAGCTTGAAGATGCGGAAGACTCTCACCAGCCTGATGATCCTCAGGATGGCCAGTGACATGTTGTGCTGGGTACTTGGCTCTGTCTCCTGGACCAGTTCTGTGATGAGGGTTGCAAAGTAGGGGATGATGGAGATGATGTCGATGATGTTCATGATATTTTTGAAGAAGTCAGTCTTGCTGGGGCAGACTACAAACCGGAGCACCAGCTCGAAGGTGAACCACACGATGCAGGTAGACTCTATCATGAAGAAAGGGTCAGTGAACATGGTCTGAGAGAGGCCTGTCTTGTTTGTGTTGATGCTGGGGTCTCTGACCACCTTCAGCTCCCTGTCCTCTCGGAACTCTGGGAGTGTCTCCAGGCAGAAGATGGTGATGGAGATGACCACAACCAACACTGAGACCACAGCCACACCACGGGCAGCACTGGAGCTCTCAGGGTACTCAAAGAGGAGCCAGAACTGCCGGTGGAAGTCATTGGTGGGGAGCAGTGTTTCAGGGTCTTTGATGAAGCCTTCATCTTCCCTGAACTGGTCCATGGCCTCACTACCCAGTTCATAGAAGGAAATCTCATCAGCAAAGACATCAATAGGGACATTGGCTGGCCGCCGGATTTTCCCACCAGATTGGTAATAATATAGGATTCCATCAAAACTGGGACGGTTTCTATCAAAGAAATATTCATTTCTCATGGAGTCAAAGAATTGCATCCTTTTTTCCCGGTCTCCCAAGAGGGTCTCTGGGAATTGATTGAGGGTTTTGAGCTGAGTCTCAAACCTCAGCCCAGCAATATTGATGATCACCCGCTGGTTTCCTTCATTCAGAACCACTGTTTCAGACCCTGGGGGATCCACATACTCTCCTGGGATCTTGGAGAAGGCTGTTTCATGATTGGTGCTGTCACCGATAAGGACTCTCCAGTTGGAAAAAGGACTGCTCCCAGGCCAGCCTTTTGAACTGGTTGGATCAAAATCTGTGGCATAGCCTGGCTCTTCCTGGATTTCGTCTGAGTTATCAAAATTAACCAGAGCAACCTCCATTTCCTTCCAGCCACACACATCCATTCTAGGGAGTCAGAGAAGCAGCATGAACACTCTCAGTCTTCGCTGCCTGCTGGGAGCTGTGGAGAAGAAGAAATCCATTAAACAGGAGCCAGGGTAGGATACAGCTGGTTCTTGATCATTGAGGCAAGGTATACCAGTTGATTAAACAATGACTTAGCTTTAACTTGAGGAGGAATGTCACAGATGTTTTGATGACATTCATCTCTTGAAATAATTTTACACCTCTGAGTTTGTATACATGTTCATACTAGAAATTCCAACGAAGGATCTTGGTGGTGAGGGACAAACTTTCCCCAATATAGGAGGGTGGTAGAGTCAACATAAAAGAGAAAGTTAATGTTCCTTGATAATAAAAAGTATAACTTTGTATTTGTGTGAAGTCCTTCAGTCTACCCAGAACTTTTCCATACCCACTGTCATCTTTAACTCTCCTCTTTCAACAGTTTCGTATACACAGCTCAAAGTCTATTATTTCCTGCCACCTCCATTATTACCCCTTGGACTAAGTGGTGAGGTTCTGTTCAGGAGGAAGAACAAGAGGATGGAGGCAGGGTGGCCAATCCGTAGTGTCCTCTGCAGAAATAAGCTCTTTGTACCTTGAGACCCTCATCTGAAAAAGAGGCTTTGAGGGTACCGTTAATGTGATATGTATGTAAAATGCTTGGTGGAAAGATGATTATATTATAGCTATTTCTGTGTTTGCCAACTTTTCTACATCACAGGAGCCATTGGAATTTTTGGGCTCTAGTTCAAGGTAGTCATTGGGAATGAACCATTTTCAGTGTAAAATAAGTAAACAACTGTCTCTGTCTGTCTCTGCGTGTGTGTGTGTGTGTGTGTGTGTGTGTGTGTGTGTGTGTGTTGGGGGTAGGGGTAGGACAACAGCCCCGTGGACTTGATATGCACATAGATGAACATTTCTTCTTTGGGTTCATGCTAGCTTCAATTTCACTGGCAAAACACTTTAGGCAAGCAGGATAGAGTAAGTGTGGAGGAGAGTAAGTGACCCAGCCTGAGGCAAAATCTGTAGTTGTTAGGCTTTGGAACAGGAGACCCTGCTGTGTACAGTGTTATAGGTTCTTCAAAGTGATTCCACATTCCCTTTTCTCACTGTTAGACAATTATCAGGCTAGAGTATGTTTCTCTTGTATCACAGTTTGCAAATGACCTCCCATAACCACACAGCTAGTGCTGCAGAGCCCTGACCTGAACTTTGTCATAATCCTTTGACCTGAACCATCTCCTCTACACCACTGTGGGTGGAGGGCACTGGGGAGAGTCAGGGCTATAGATTCCCAGGAACTCAGTGCTCCTTGGGTCCCACACTATCTTTTTTGTTTGTGTGTAGTTTTTTTTTTTTTTTTGTAGCCCCAGATGGCCAGCAACTCACTATGTAGACCAGGCTGGCCTTGATCTCACAGAGATCTACTGACTGATTAAAAGCATGTGCCACCATACTGGGCCACACCAGTCCAGGTATACCTATGAGGTGATGAAGTCAGGCTATTGAGTTCTTGTTCTGCCTCTTAGATGTGTGTAGCCTTTGTAAGCTCCGTCTCACTAAGCTTCAACTTCCTCCCTGGTGGACTGAAGATGTACCAGTGTGCTGGTCCTTGGCATGAGGCTTGGTGAGAGGTAGGGTGGTTGGAAGGCAGAATGGAGCAGTGTGTAAGGGCTTTGAGAACAGAGCCAGGAGATCTATACATGGCACCCTAAAGTCTTAGCTGTGTGGGTGGCCCCACGTGCCCCATTTAAATGAATAAACATAACTCATAATAGACAGAGAAAAGAAAACTAGTCTTGGGGACAGAGCATCTGACTTGAAGCTTTGTCCCACCACTTAGGAGTTGTATATTTTTAAACAAACTACTGGATTTTATGGTTCTTAGTTTTCTGATCTGTGAAATGGGCAAGAAGAATGATAATTCCCGTCTCAAAGATTTCAATGAGGGGCTGGGAACATTGCTCAGTGGGTAAGAGAGCTTTCTGTGGAAGGATGAAGACCTGAGTTTAGATCCCCAGTGGGTGCCAAGTGAAAAGCTGGGTGTGGCCATGCCTGCACGAAATCCCAGGGCTGTGTGTGTGCAGTAAGATAGGAGGTTCTGGCCAGCTAGCCCAGCTGAATAAACAATGACTTCCAGGTTTAGTGGAAATCCTGTCTCAAGGGAATAAGCTGAAACTTGTTATGTAGACCAGAAGGACTTCCATCTCACAGAGAGCTTGCCTGCCTGTCTTCTGAGAGCTGGGGTTAAAGGCATGCTCCACCAGGCCCGGCTTTGTAAATTATTTTTAAATGTAGGGAATTACCACCCCCCCCAAACATAAACCTAAGGTAACATACCATAGAAAAAACACATTTCATGTGAAGAATTGCAGGAGGAACTCTCAGCTCTCCACCCTTCCCATCTTCTCTTCCCTGACCTATCTCCACGGTGTCCTGCTTCAAGCATCCTTTCCCCTTGTCATCTTCCCTGCTCAGGTGGAGATGGTCTAGATTCTGCCTTGTCCAAGGCTCTGACCAGTCCAGCTCTCTGCCTTTCCTGTGCTCCTGCATTGGCCACTCTGGCTCTTGGTGTAAAGTGACAATGTTCATGGGGTCAGCCTTAGCTCCTAATCTCTCTTAAATGTGTACAAGGTATAGGATAATGTCTCACAGGGTTTTCCTCCTGCTTTATATGTTCTTAGAGAACAGGACTTACCTTGAATCCCTAACTGTACCAAGCCAGTCTCCATCTCGAACTGGCAGATAGGCAGATGGGTGATAGGAATCCAGGTGGTAGGACAGCACCAGATAAAACATAATCATATCAAGTGATTATTTGATCAGTACTCGTTGTTAAGCAGATGAATGAACCAAGGAAAGAAGAATTGCAAGCTTGTGAGGGTGAGGACCACGTCTGATTTCACAGGCCTTGCTTAGTTTACCCAAGTGCTCAGTTCATGTCTGGTGATTGGATGATTGAGTGGTGAGTGTGTGGTAGACAGTATGCTGGGCTCTGATTCAGGATGCCTACATTGTTTATACTGCTTTAGGATTACTGACTGCTTGCATCACCTCATCAAGCGCCTGTGTGGTCATCTGTAATAAGAAAACAAGCTGAGTCAAAGGACCCAGATAAGAGCATATTGAATAATTTCATGAATACAAAATTCTTGAAAATGGAAAGCATATTGGTAGTGGGCCAGGAACAGGGGTGGGGAGGAGAGGAAGATTACAAAGTGGATCCAGTGATCTCTTTTTAAATAATTTTTGAGTTATTTATTTTTATTTTATGTGTTTGAGTGTTTTGCCTGCATGTGTATAAGTGCACCACATATATGCAATGTCCAAGCCAGAAGAGGACATCGGATTTCCTGGAACTGGAGTTACAGATGGTTGTTAGCCACCATGTAGGGACTGGAAACCTAACCGAAGTCCTCCCCAAGAGCAGCCAGCACTCTTAACCACTAACCATTTCTCCAGCCCCTTGGTGACCTCTTAGAGGGGGCATGATTCTTATCCTGATTGTGGTGATGGCTTCACAGGTATATATATATATACCTGTTGCTGCTGACTCTTCAAGATCTGGGTAAGGACCAAAGGGGATGATATGGGGTTGCTTTGTGAGCTGCCGGGGCTGAGTGTGTGCTTTTACATGGAACTCTCCATGGTGCCCAGTTCCAGTGAGCGTGGCACTGCAGAGCTGAGGATATCTGTCTCATTGTTCTGCTTGCTGGTGTGAGGTTCCTGGGGACATCTGGTAGAAGTCTTTTATCTGCCCAGCCCTCAAAGGCCTCCATAGAATTGCTCCGACCTGAAGCAGAGGTCTTAGCCATGGCTGAAGTGATCATGATTTTCAAGAGTCTTCTACAAGGCTCAGATCTTCTCAGAACCTCTAGGCTTGCCTGACACAGTACTGAGACTGCTCTCAGTGTACCAATGGCCCTCTTTTCAAGGCACAGTTAATGTGCTTCCTTCCTCCTTCCCAGCCAACATGTGTACAAACCCCACCACCTGCCACCTGCCTTGCCACACTTCTAACCTTGCCTGAAGGTAAAACTTTCCTGAAGATGCCAGATGGAGGCACGTCTGTCCTCCTGAAGTCCTCTCTAGAAGTTTTTCTACGCTTTCTGGACATAGCACTAACTGACTCATGTTTTCTCTCCAGGGTGTGACCATGCTTGTATACCATAGCAAGTAGCCCTGGGGAGACCACTCACCATCCTGGGGCATCATAAACGTCACTCCTTATCTTTGCTCGCTGCTCTTTTCTGGAGATAGAAAGACTTGCTATATAGCCTGAGGCACATCATCTAGATATTTGGATGTGCCTGACATGCCATTGGCATTCAGTAGAAATGCCATAGACCAGCACAGACCTTTCCTGAGAAGCCCACTCTGCCCACTTCCTCTGCCTTGGCACAGACTACAGGGATCCAAGCTGTCCTGTGCTCTGCAGTGCTTATATACTTCCGGTGGACACATAGATGTTGAGGAGTCTTTATGGTGGGGTGGTCTCTGCCATGACTAAACCAGGTGCTTCCGGTAAGGAGGGCTTTGGGTGGGTGTTCCACCCACCACAGGCTTCTTCTTGAACAGTTATGCAGATGTCTGTGGCTGGTGTTTGTGCTACAGGTCTGGCTTTGTAAGGTCACTGAGCTGTACTAAGCAGGAAACATCCAGAGCCCATTCCTTGACCTTTCCACACAGGTTGCCTTTGGTTGCCTAGCAACCCCAACACCTCCTCCACAGTCAGGTGAGGCAGCAGCTGTCACCAAGTCTGAGGATGGATGCAAAAAATCATCTGCAAAGACAACTGTATATACTGTGCCTCAGAGCCCCAGGTCCCAAGGACAGGGAGCACAGAGCTGTCTGTCACTGGCAAGGTCTGATGTCTCAGGGCTGGCAGTCAGGGAGTCGGGAGGGAGAACCTGCTAGTGTATTTTCACCTGACTTGTGGAATGCTGAGTGGAGGATTCTTGGAAACAGAGGTAGAAGATCCACTGCGGTGCTACTCTTAGCTGGACAGGAGAGGGTGCTGCTGTCTTGCTGGAAGCAATTCCTGGCCTCTGTGTGTGCCCCTTCCATCTTTGATGTCCTTCTCCTTCACTTTCTAGGGCCTGCCACCTGCAGGTTTTGCTGATTACTCCCCCAGGCTGGCTCTCGGGCCTACTCCTTCCTTCTCTCTCCAGTAATCACTTTGGCTTCATTAGCAGATGAAAGTGTAGATCTGTTCTGTCTCACCAGCCCTGGGATAATGTCACCACACTCCCTAAGGGCCATCATTGCTTCAGCTGGAGCATGTTAAGACAGAGACACAGGTGACACTTGGTCCCTTGTGGAAATGGAACCACAGACACCAAGTTCCCCAGTTGAGCACTG